CTTTGGGAAATTTATGTGAATCCCTGCAACCCTGCTGGAAGATTCCCCCCCACTCTTTTTTTTTTTTGCTCATTTTTAATACCATTCTTTCTGGCTGATTTGATAATCCAACTTTATTGGTATTTACCTTGTTAATATTAAATATTAAATATTATTGGGGAATTTTTAAGATAAGAATGAAACTGCTATAAATTTTAAGCATTAATAGATTCAATATTTTCTGGAAATCACTGAAAATAATAGGTTATCTATCGCTAGATAACCACAGAAATTCAAGAACAATTCAGTTATTTAGCATGGGAGGTGCCTCCAAAATAAATACAATACATGCAATATTTTGGATAAAACTGGTGGAATTGGCTATATCACCAATTTGGATAGTGATAAGCTTGTCATATAGTTGGGCTGAAATAAAAAAAAATGTAGATAAATGTTATTTTTCTATCTTTTTAAAATCCTTTCTGCTGAAAAATGAACGTGAAAGCTATTCTCAGTGAAAAGTGCATGTTTCCCTTGCTTTTATGATAGTCTCTGGTGGGCTGGCTAATTTGTATGTGTGCAAAGAAAGAGTAAGCTGAACAAATATTCTCTGTACTATTATGAAAATTTAAAATCCCCCAGTGAGCTTTCACACATGATAATTTATATTTTAAGGCTCATCCATTGACACTGCAACTGCCTTGTATTTTCCTAGTTGTCATATAAGAAGTGGAGATGGAAATAATTTGGTGTATGCGTGTTGTAATGATTTGTTGTTGATTTTTGTTACCAATGAGGGGTAACTAGGCAATTTCCTATTGTTTTCTGGTTGTCTTCCCAACTCATCTGTTCACTTTAATCTGCAAAAAAATCTGCAAAGAAAGATGAGATTGCACATCACTTTTCTATCACTTATTACTTTTGCCCAGGGATAAATGCCCTGAGCCTATTTTTTTTTTCTTTTCCAACAACCAGAAGGGGAAAAAACTGAAACATTTTTTAAAAAAAAGATCAATCTCCTTTCTTTTATGGCTGAAATAAAAATATTGCTTTTGATATCCCACCTTATATGTATAATTCAGCTACCCAAAGCAAGGCCTTCTATGTGCCTTAGAAGTATAGATTATATACCTTGGGAAATAAATAATAAAATAATGTAAAAATCTGTGGGAAGGGAAATTGCGCATTCAAGAGCCAGTGAGGAGAATGTTATATGGG